CATGAACATGAATTTCTAGACCCTGTGTGTAATTCAAATATGTGACCCTTGGTTTTTGCAGGAGCTGGATTTGAAGATTTTAGAAGCATTGGCCAAGAAGGTAGACATCTTTTTTTTATCAAAGTGGCTTTTTTAATGAAATAGATTTCAGTTAGTATAATTTATTTTTATTGACCAGAAATCAGAAGGTAAGACTCATTTAATAAACCTTGCAAGTGGAGAGCTAATTTTTTTCATCTCAATTCTTGTAACAACAGGAAGATCAAGACAAAATAGTTGAGACTTCAAGACGAGAGAAAGCCAGAGCTGATGCAGAATACATGAGACAGGTAATGGATCTTCAAATTTATTTCAAATGTTTTCCATGTGCAGAAGTTTGAGATACATGTGTCTATATTGTTTCTTTTAAAGGTTGTTGAACAACAACTTAAGCTTGAACAACAAAGGGAGGCTGAGTTGGACATGCTCTACAGGTAATGATAACAATCTCACATGTAGCCATTGTTTGAATCATTGGCTTGCCCTGATATAAAGTTCATAAAAGCTGTGAGAAGGTTTGAAGACTAATCCTGGATTGGGATGGATTTCTTTAACTTTTCTTTGTGGTGGAGGTTGATCCAGCCAACTTCCATCACTCTATCAACCCATCATTAGTAAAAAGAAAACATCCTTTATGAAGTTTACACACTAGTCTCTGATTGTGGACATTACTGTCCAATTTTTGACACTAGAGTCCGAAGTTAGACATTTGTATAGGATTTAAGACACAAGTGTCTGATTTTAGACAATACTGTCCAATGTTAGAAACTAGTGACCAATTTAGACATTTATGTCCGAGTTTAGACACTAGTGTCCGATTTTAGACACTAATGTCTGATGTTAGACTCTAGAGTCTGATTTTTAGACACTCAAGTCTGAAGTTAGACACTAATGTTTAATTTTAGACACCAGTGTCAAATCAATGAATAAGAAAGGAAAATTTGTTATCAATGGTAATCAATCATTTGATCAGTACTTAAACATTTATTCAAGGTTCGTGCACTGGTCTAGTACAGTGCATATGTCTTTTTCTCTTTTTCTATTTAAGAACGTCAACAATTTTGAATCTTTAAAATATTTAAAACCCCAACTTAGATCGGAATTAAGAATTCATTCAAAGTGCAAAGTATTGGACATAATGTCCTGCCCTCCTTGGAGTTGAGTGGATAAAACCTTTATTGGACCTGACATTGTCCGTTGACCGCCTGTTTTTCCGAGCCCTGATACTTTTCACTATACATTTCGTAAGGTACTGAGAAGGAAAATTAGTTTAATTACGAGCCTCTTTAGTTGGTGATCATTTCATTTATATACGTGACCTTAATGTTTGTTTGATTCAGGGGGGATATTGAAAGGAGAAATTAGATGCTAGTCACCCTCGGGGATTTAAGGGTTGAAGTATCTTTTATTAATCGTAAATTTGTGATGTGTAGAGATGAAGCAGCGCGAATGTGGACCAAGAGAGAAGCAGAGTGGGAACGGGAAAGACTGGCCAGAGAGAGATTGATGGCTGAAGTAAGGAAAACACGTTGTTTACATCTGTTTTTAAGACTTCTCCCCAAGGCTACATTTTTTTGATAACAGCTGGTATTGTCCTCTGCCAGGTTTTAGACGTTCGCAGAAAACAGCTGGATGACAAAATGGAGGAAAATAAACGCCGCCAAGAGGAGTCAATCGAAAGTCGTGAACAACTGCTGCGAGAATTGGAGGAAGCTCAGAGAATGACAGCAAGAGAGAAGAGTGAAGAGGCAAGACTACGGAGGGAACGAGAAGAAGAAATTCAAGCACAGGTTGAAATATGAAAATACACGTTTGTTTTACTCCTTATAATTAACTTCCCACTATTATCTTCATTCACAGAAACCTTCCGTTTTTATACCTATTTTCTCCCTCCAACACTGTATTTGTTTTGATCTTTTGAAATTGAACAGATAACTTCACGTAGAGAAAAGGCCAACGAAATGAAACAAATTGAAAGAGAAGAGCTAGAAAGGGAAAGGTGAGTGTGATAGTCATTAATAAACTATTGACGAGTTTCAATGTTGATGAAACTTTGTTTCCCCGAAACTCATGAAAGCTGCCTTTTGTTGAAATAGGCAGTTGCCTTTTCGCCAATTTCAAACGCTTTTGTTGTGGTATTTTAAGAAGTTTACTGTGGGTGGAATGTTACGACAACAGTTTTGCACACAGCCTCACTGTACGTGTAAATTGCATTTTTTGTACTAGGCGAGAGAAAGAAGCATATGATAGAATGTTGAGACATGAGGCAGATCATATGAAAGCGAGAGGACCTCATGCAAGGGTGAGTATAACATGTGCTGTTTCTTAACTACCAGTTGTGCTTACTTTGTGTTACTTCTTACTATTTGTATGTACATTGTCCAACAAATGGGGGATGAGATTTGCTAAACGTATCAACTAGATACAAATTAATGTGACATTTTCACCTGATTGAAGGATGTGTTGAAATTGTCTGAAAACTATGCCCCGTTTGTGCCGAACTTTACCCCGGTTTCTCTAGCGTGAAGCGATTGCGAATTCTTTTTGCACCCTTGGAGGGTATTCTACTCGATCTTGTTTTACCCACCCGTCCCTCGATATTTCGTCAGGTCACTTTAACTTTTTGACCCCTAAGGCTGGCTACCATCTAATTTCTCCCTACTATATCCCCCTCGGATCACACATCAAGGTCACGAGATTAACGGAAATGATCACCAACTAAAGAAGCTGTTGATTTATAGACAAATTCTCCTTGTCAGCACCTAAGAAAATGTAAAGAGCACATTATGGAGAATATGCATACTCATGTTAGGGTGTGTTCGTATTTGTTTTTGCATCCGTAGTTTGTTCCAAGAAGGAGAACAGCATTTGAATAGAATAACTTCCTTCGGATCAAATGGATTGTTACTTCATCTGTCAGAGGTAACAGCGTAAATATGGTTGTAAGGAAGTGTTTTTTAAGTGGTTCGCCGACTTCTTCACAGTTTGTCTCGCAACAGCTTTTGTCACACAATCATGAAATAGTAACCGCTGAATGAAACAGCATCAAAGACTGGAAAGGGACGCCATAACTATAAACTGTATCCTGCTGTAATGCTGTCAGGCTTGGGCAGAAATGCATGAGTCAACATTTCATCGAGCAGGACTCAGTATCACGATTAGAAGTGTAAATTTGTCCAAGTTTTGGTTGATACTAAAATGTGTAAAGGTATTAGTTGTAAATAATAAATAAAGATCAATGTCGCGGGAGATTTCTCTAATGATTCTCTCGGCTCTTTTTTGTTTTGCTTGTTTATTTCTTTGTTTGTGTAAGGTGGGTTAATTTACGAACAGTTCATCAAAAGCTTCTAATTACGCTACGTTGTTTTAAACGAAATCAAGACATCAAGAAAGTTTTTCAAAAACTGTCAATGCGTTTATTTCCTTGTGCAAATGGTACATTTTAAAAAGCCTTTATTTTTAAAGTTTCCTAAACGTATTCGACAAACGTTTGACCCTCATTCTACAAGCTCTTTAAAACATCTTTTATTTCAGCTTCCTCCATCCGTAGCTACGTAGCATAGGTTCAGAGCCACCGGTCATAGAAAATTTAAGGTAGCAATTAAAGATTTGGTGTTTCACAACTCCAACATCCACCTTACAAAAATCAGATTAAAAATAAAGCTAGCCGTTTATTATCTTCTGTGGATGAAAGCGCTCTAAATTTTGGAAAAACTTGAAACATGTTAGAGCATTCGCACTGTGTAATTCGTCTACTGCCAGTGCAGTTGTTTATACCGGAAACTGAGTGTGGATCCGTCACCAGGCCTTAGATCATCCACACCCGTAGTGGCCGATTTTTCGTCCACATAGATCATCCAGTAAAATTTATCGACTGGTCTGCGTTGGACACCACAGATAGACGTCACCGAGTTGCCGTAGGAGGTTTTTTGGGTGGTGAATGCGTAACAAGAATTTTTTTTGGCAGCTTCTTTCAGGATGTCATAAGCATTAGTGCCATTTGCTACTGTCACGCACTCAGTGGTTGGAGCTGTTTTTCCTTTGGTGTATTTGTTGGTGTTGACGAACTTCAGCTCAACGCAGACGGTTATATTCTAAGTCAATCAAAGGAAAAACACTCAGTTGTTTTTAATATTCTACAAATGTTTGGTTGCAATTTCAACAGAGTGAGTTATGATATGTCACCGTTATTTCAGAGGTGTTAAATTTTAGTTATAAGCGGTCACCATATCACGATAGAGAGGAAGGTGATGGTGGGGACATAACAAAGATAACCCCTCCTGTCATGCCTCTCTCTGCGACTCAAACTAATAAACACGAAATGAATTTTTTTACCAATCTCACCTGTTGTTCTTGTTGATCTGAAAGGGAAAAATTCAATTGCGTTAGAGACTTAAACTTGAGTTATTCACACAACAAAACCCATTTGAATTTAGAGAAGAGAAACCCAGTGCGTTTTATCACTCTTGCCGCACAAAAGCAAACAAACTTCAGGGGAGATTCCACTGGGAAGGAGAACAGGTGTAACTGCAGGTGGACAGAAGGCTAACGCGTCTGCACTTACAGCGGATTTGCTAAAGGTCGGTATGTAGGGTATAAAAGGTCACAACTTTTCCTGTAAAACACAGCTGTCAGTTACCTGATACGTCTGTAGTTCTGAGACACGCTATGTTTTTGACATCGTGGGGCAGCGCTCCGATCAAGGCTGGTGTGACATAAAGTGTGCTCAACAAGTTAATGAAGGATCCATCGGGTTTTTGACGAGACACGAGCCAGCGTAAAGTCGTCGAACACCTTTTTGTCTTCCATCCGGCTGCTAAAAGAGCCTAGACATGAAGAAATGTGATCAGTGTAAAAATTCACCCTACATATACAGTATGTTATGGAGCTGATTGATAGGTAGTGTGAAAAATAATCAATTGTCATTTGCGATCCAGGTTTGTCTTCTCATTCCTTAACATCTCGGTTCCCTGTTAATTTATTCCAGTTTTGCGTTTTCAGAGCTTGAAGAAAATACATATTCAGTAAGACTCAAGCAGCTCAAGGGCAATTCTCTTCGACGCTCAAACTTCTTGGAATTTCGTGACTTAGCCCCTTCAAATCACAGAATATGAATTGTGTGACAAAACAAAAGACAATTGGCGTGATAGAGAATTAGAAACGTACTTGAGAGGCAAGAGCTGCCGTGACTTCGTTTTCCCCAAACGTGCTATCATTGATTTGAGCCTTAACCAACTTTCTACACCCCAAATTAACAGCTTTTTGGATCTTCTTTTCAAGTGCCTTCTTTTTCTGCCCTTTTATGGACTTCTTGATACAGGTTAACGCCATTATTTGCATTGCAAGCGTGTCGGCATGGTAACTGGCAGTGTGAGATTCATTTTCTACTTTCTTCAGGATTTCGTTCACATGGCCAAGCGTCTTCCTCTCTAGAGGTGCGTTGCTGCTACAGAGAGCCATAACAGCTAGGCTGTACTGAAAAGGGTGATTAAAACCCAACTGAGGGAACTTGGTTAGTTTGTCTTTCAGACTTTTTATCAAATTGAAATCATAAAAGTTGCTGGGGTCTTTGCACGTAGCCAACGCGCCGAGAATATACAATGCTACCCTACCCCCGGTCAGGGAACCAATGTCAGCTTTAATGATCTCCGCATTCAGATGCTCAGCACCAGTCTCCACAGAGTGACCAGTAAGACGCAGAGAGTTGAACGCAAACGCACTCACGTGACCCAATCCGTAAGTGCCATTTTCGTCTTGTTCATTCCTTAACCATTCGGCAGCTCTGACGGCCGCGCGCGTGATGCTTGTTCGCAGGAGTCTGGTACCTGAAACGCGTCAAGTGTCAATAATGAGCTACAGCTTAGAAATGAGGCTATATATCACGATCGACTGATTTCTGCGCTGTTAGAAAAAAGTCGCTTCTAATACTTCGAACACTGAGCACTATGACTTATGGTCACTCAGAACTAAACTGGGCAAAATTGATTTGAAAAACAAGCTGTGATGGAGTCTACCGTAAGCCTTTACACCGTAATTTCATTATGCATATTCTCCATACTGTTCATTATACATTTCCTAACATGCTCACAGGGAGAATTTGTTTACTGATCCAAAGTGATATCGTAAGGAAAAATTAGATGCTGGTCATTCTTAGGATTTAAAAGGTAAAGCGTGTTTAAGAAATCCATAAGGGGATAACTAACAATATGTTGAGTTGTGGTTACTGAAAATTAAGCTAATTGAAAGGTAACCTGCCAGAGTAAACTAACACCAACTGAGGCGCGAGAAAGAAAGCTGTAACGCAACTCTTATCCGTGACAGAGAAAGAATATTAATTATGTTATAAAGACAATGGACAAATTCTTTGTTTTACATATAATGGGTTTAACAGCCCAACTTCACGCTTAGTATAATCAGTTCAGAGTCTATTTTTCCCTTTTTTTAATTTGTGTTTGTCTGTCAATTTATTTTTTTTTATCTTTCGGTTTCGCTTTCAAGTGATTTTATTCTCCTCATTTTTGGCAGAATGGGAGAACAAAGGTTACTACCACACGCAGAGATGGAAAATAACTAGAAAAGTCATATTGAGATTTAGCTAACAAAATTTCTTTTGTACATGGTAAGAAAACTGCATCCCAGCTATCAACATCCAGGGAAAGAGAGTTTGAAGACGAGCTCCTTTAGTCGCTCGCCTCAACAAAATCAGCCGATTGAAAGCACTGTGACTGTGAGGAAGTTAATACCCAAGAGCGCAAAAAATTAATTACACATTTTTTTAGCATTATGATTCAGCGAATAGTTGGTGGGCAATAGGAATAACTCACTGAACTGCTCTTCTGTTTGTACGACTTCGTCTCCGGGCATATTAAGACTCTAGGGAAGAGAAATCTAATTTTCCTCTCGAACAACATGTCTTGAGCTGCAGGGGACACAAAGAGGCATTCTAAAATACTCAGATCTTCCGTTATCCTTAATTTAGGTCTGCGTATCGCGTAACCAAAGTTAATAGACCGTATGATGTTTAGCTGTTAGGCCCAAAGAGCGGAGAAAGGTTGGAAAAGTTCATTGCCTTGAAAATTGCACACGTCAGATGTGATGAAATATGCTGAGTTTAGCATTAATGTTATTTAGCATGTATTTCTATGTTTTACTCAAATGATTTGTGGAAGAACAGTAACCCATATCTTACCGCAATATCCTGTGGCTTGAGAGAAAAGGGCAACAATCGCCAAGAGCGTTAATAGTTGGAAGTTCATGGCGGACATTCGCCTTCAAAAGTTCAGGTTCTAGATTCGGGAGCAGCGACGAAAGGAAATGTTATGTGACAGAGGAAATTCTGAGGTTAATCCTTTAATATCACATTACCAGTGAGTTCCAGACCCCAGCAACATCAGGCGCACATCAGTACCAGGCAAACGTCCGCCTTGGCGCCAAAAAAAGTAACATTTGACGGGTACTGAAAATTGAATACAGAAAAAGCCTGATTCCTTTTGCACCGATTACAAAACATGGGGAGAAATTTCTGCAATCGTCCTTGAAAACTGTATTTTAGACAATAGTTATGTCATGCCTTCTTATAGATTACATGAATATTTTCTGCACCCCTAAAAAGTTAAGTGAAAATGTTTGATAGACTTCTTCATGATTAAAATGTTCTGGAGAATATCTTCCACTCGTTTTATGAGATAACATGTTTATGCTGCCATAGTACGTTATATCAGTGCTTAGACAACTTGTCTGGATTGTTGCGTACATACGGTCGAACTCCTCACAGCTCAGTGGGTAGAGCATCATGACAACCTCATAGGCTCCAAACGCGAGCTCAGGAAACTAGTCTGTTGATTTTTTGTGTTTTTGTTGTAAATCGGAAACTTAATAATAAATTACCAAGTTCAGCGTATGTTTGTTTGTTTTTGTAAAAGTTACTTGAAAATGGCTAATTCTTAGCAAAACGTTACAAAAGTCACAGACTTCAACCTAACGTGTGGAAATCTGTAAATAGAGTCTGAATTTCTTTTCTCGTCGTATGGGGGTACACTTATGCCGCTTGAGTTGATCTCGGAACTACTCAATAGTCAGGGGAACTGATCTTCGTGTTTTTACTTTCAATAATGTCTTTTGATTTTATTTTGTACATTTGTCTGTTTTGCTATTTTATACTTTTTCGGTAATATTTAATTCATCTCTTTTACTTGTATTCCGATGTGAAAAGAATATTTTGTTTGCCTCAGTGAGCTTTTTGTTTAGGAATTCGTACTTAAATCAGATGTATTCTGTCATCATTATTTAATACAAGATCTTGCGACTGAGTAGCACGTGAAATGCCTTTATTTCTTCAGGGGCGTTTCTGATGCGCTCCAAAAGGCGTGCTAACAACACAGGCGTCGTAATTGTGACGTACTCATCAGTGATTGGTTTGTTCTCTCATTCCATATTCATGACAAACAGGTCAAGGACGAGAGAGGACGTGTTACTCCGAGGTCTCTGTGTTTGTGCCAAGAAAATGCAGTCTGCTTGAAAGTTTTCTGAAGGTAAGCATCACTGTTAGTAAACAGCTGAAATAATCTTGTCGTTATTTCTGTGCAGGGTAATTAACTAATCGAGCAAGGGAAAAATAACGTGCTTTTGGTTTGCTTCTTGCTTCGCCTTCGACTCGCACAAATTTCGTTCATCATGCCTGTAGAGTACAATTACTGCCTTCGTCAAGGTTTCGAGAGAAATAACCTACCGTAATTTAAGTTTCGAGTTGTTGATTCGAGAAAAAAGCGATGACCACGAAGGAAAATGAAGTGCAAGTATTTCGAAGCCACGTGCACTTCATCTCTTGTCGGTTGCTCTCCTAAATGCGCTGAGGAAATGCAGCAAAAACCTTTCAAAAACACGTATTTGCGACTAAAATTTGTTGAACCCGAATTTTCACTTCTTAATTGTACGTGTTGGTAAAAGTTGTTGGTAAATCAGCCAAACACTAAACATCATTTTTCTTATCTCTGCTTACAGGATGACTGAGAGAATGAAGATGACGGCAAAACCAAGAATTCAAGAGGACAACCTGGAATCAATGAATGCAAAAGAAACTCTACAAAGATAAGAACTTTAAAGTTTATTACATTGTTCTAGTATGAAAATGGTGGCTGCCTATATTTCTACATTTTCTTGCGAACCTAAGCTGATGTAAGTTGGAGTAGAAGAAGGTGAGATGGCAGCCACCATTAAAGTTGAATATTTTAAGGCGGCACTGTAAGGCAAATGGCTTTCAAAAGAAAAAAAAACTGAAAATAAAAAAAAAATTGAAAATAAAAACAAACTTGGGTTCTCTTGTTGTAAAACTAGAACTAAGAAGCAAAATAATCGAATTTGTATGGAAACAACTTATTGTTCTCGTTTTTTACAACTTTTTATTTGGAAAACTACGATTTCCTAAAGGATAAATCGTCTGCAACTTTGTCAATTCAATAATCAGTGCTGCTTCAGAAGATTCACATATTTTCTTTGTAGTTTCCTTGCAATGGACTAAAGAACGTTGGCAATATATAATCCTTTGGAAAATTATTCAACCGAGTTTCGTCTGATTGGCGTAAAAGAATAGCCATATCCTTTTAAGTTTTCATCGTTATGAAACAATTTCACTTTGGTGTTGCTACGTTATCGTTACACTTACCGCCTTCACAATGACGAAATGAACGAACAGAACACTTAACATTAAGTTCATTAGAAAAGATGAAGAAGAAGGAAACCTCCTTCTCCAAACCTTTCATGAAACGGAAAGATCACGTGAATCAGACGTATCATCTTCGAATCCGAAATCACACCAAGTTACGAATATTAAGAGACGAGGGTGACGAGTTTATAAAGTTGACCACACGCTTGAAAATTTATCCGGCGTAAAATAAAATACCTTGAACGTTTTTTTTCCTTATGAAAAAAAGCTACAAGTACGAGTTTATCAGACGAAAACAAAACTCACTTCGACCTTCGGAAACAACCGAAACGCGAGCCAGCTCAACTGATACGAGAAATCGTAACGTAAACAGTCAAATGACAGAAAAAATCGACGAACGAGCCATGCCACTGCTTGACGTTTAAACCATAACACTGCCTTTTTTTTCATGGACTTATATAATTAATTGGACAGCCGCATGTCTATTAACTTGCAACAGACCACGGATGATATCAAAAACGATTAACAATTATCGACATACTACAAAACTACGTAAACACGACATGACATAACAAATGATGCGAACGGAACCACCTTAATTCATGAATTACAAATGAGAAAGACTTGTGATTCTTACAGCCAATTAAGAACAAAAGAACTGTTCTCTGTTACGTTTGCATTGACTGTAAGATAGTGTATTGAGAAAATGAGATTTCTTTTGAAAACTAATGTCTTCCATAAAATTTATTTGCCTACGTTCTCTTGTCGTTTTGCAAGTTAAGTATATAAATCCTAATTGTCTGGTTCAGAGGATTACTAGAATTTTCATGAAAAGGTATCACTTTAGCAGTTCTACAGACCAGTAAAATCTGTCCTGTATACAAAAAAAGCAATACGTCAAACAGTTGGGGGCATTTTATCACTTAAAAAACCTAAAAAGACACGGAAATTGAAATTGAACACCTGGTTACAAATCCAACAGTAGTTGCCTCGAGCTCAATCAAAGGGTTAAGATCAAGACTGATCTTTCAAATCACAGTTCACTCATGCAGTAGCAGCTATGAGCAAACAGATTTGCCTGACAAACTCAAGAAAAAGGAAAAAGTGGAATTTGTGTTGAACTCAATTTGTCTTGCACAAGCTGCAAGAAAACAAGAAGTTAAACAAATTCAATGCGAGGCTTTAGTTAACAACAAACTTGAAACTTTTTGAAAGAGAAAATTTTCGCATAGTTTGTTATTAAATACAGTTGTCCGTTTAAATTAAACGAGAATTCCCGTGAGAAATGCCAGTGACCTTAACCCTTAAGATATTGTCAGGATTGTTATGAATTCAAATTTTCCTGTCTTGAAGAAAGAAAAGTGAAGAAATGGATTGAGTTTGGATTTTTTTCTGGTCTTGGTCTGTATAACTTATTGCTAAGGGTTTTCGCTGAATGTTACATTAAATCAAAACATGTTTGCTTAAAATAATATTGTTTGAACCAGACATTGGGTTTTATCGTACTTGTAATGCAGAAAGACCTCTTTCAGCCTGAAATTAATGTTACACAGGAAAGATTGAATCTGAATTTATTGATGGAAAAATAAAAGGCAACTCGAACAAAAAAAATCTTGTCTCAGTAATTTCAAATACATGATATCAGATTTTCTTGCATGAACTTTGCAACCAAAGAGAAAAGAAAACTTAATTTGGCCGCCCACGAGAAAGAGAATTTGAAGATTATTTTATGTAAATGAACTCAACCAAAATTTTATCTCGGTGACTTTCAAAGATACCAGGAGCTAAGCAGTTATCCAGATTGTCTGAACCTTGCGACCCAAAAAGAGAAAAAAAAAAAAAGCTAACTCCGCCACAAAGAAAGACTCAAAATTTAAATGATTTGGTCACAGATATTGATCAGTTTGAGTCAAAGTATTTCCTGCGCAACAAACAGAAATTCAACGGCTGAAAAAGGTCTCAGCATGACAAACTTCACAAATTTTATATAACAGTAGATAGTGGCTTGTCATGTTGCTTATTGATAGAGTAAGCAATGTGTATATAACCTTGTGCGAAAAAAAAAAAAGGAAAATACAATTTAATGAACTCAGAGCTTAGGGTTGTTTAGAAATGACTAGGAAGAAAATTTTGCACAAGGTGATGTTCACATATCTTTTTGCGAAAATTTTTAGGGGTAGCCATTTTGAATTTTTTGTCGAAAATGTTGTCAGGGGAAACTCTGTGCAAATTGCTCCAAATTTTCCCGCCAAAAGTCTTAGTATATATTTGAACAAAATTTTCCTGACAAGTGTTTTATTATTTAATGGAAAGTCACTTAACTAATTAAAGACAAAATCTGTATTGTTGATTGACAGAAAGAAAATAAAGATCACAAAATGAAATAACAAACAACTTCGTTGACTTATTTATTAACAGACAGATATAAAAACGTATATATTCTACTTAGAAAAAAAAGGCGGCGCATGCGTATTTTGGGCGCCTGTATTTTTCTAAGTTTTTTGGCGGGAAAATTACGCGATTTTAAACAGATGTTACTCACAGGGTTGTCATGAAACCAAAAAAAAAGAATTATGGCGCACGCGTATTTTGGGCGCCCGTATTTTTTTTTTAAGTTTTTTGGCGGGAAAAATAATTTTTTAACAGTTGTTATTAGAGGAAAA